TTAGGAAACAAAACTTCAAGACCACGGCCACACAGCCCGGAAGACCCACACCAGCCATCCTAACAGAAGAGAGTTTATGTGAGAAGATGCTAAGCTCCATTTCCAGCAGAGAAAGAAGAAGCCAAGGTTCAGAATGTGCTCAAAGGGATTTAACATCCAGTAGCGACTGTTGTTTAACGCTTCGGGCTGCACAGTAATTAGGGAATTTGCCAGGTCAAACAAGCTAATCCCGGTGCGGGCATTACTGATCCAAGTGCAGGTGATCTAATTCTGTGGCCGTGCTCACACAACATATATAAGGTACGGTTTGCCCAGTACCCAAATCCATCAGCCAGGGTTGCTGGTGAAGGTGGGGTTCACACAACCCATTAACAAGCCAATCGAGGAGACTCCGGAGATTAACAAGCAAACTGTATCTTGACTTGGTATGAAGTCAACCAGGATAAACTTCTTCCAGAGCAAGCAGCTGCTTGCATTTGACTCTCCCTGTGGTTGAGCCATCTGTTCGGATTGTGGGCTTTATATACTGCTGCTATAGGCTTTCAATTTTTAAAAAATGTATGTATTTTCTGTGGAATACCTATATGTAAAAAAGGCAATAGGATCACTTATATTTCAAGAGCCACAGGAAACACTGGCACCCTTGCAGAAAGCAGCTGGGCTTCCTAAGCAGCTGTTGTACCCTCCTCCTGGGTCTCTGACAGGCCAGTGGCATTCAGAAAGGCCCAACCTGCCCAGCTAGAGGGGATCAATGCTCCCCGCTCCTTGCATTTTGCTGCCCGAGGCCAGGGTTGGCCTATTCAGAAATGGCACCCAGGCAGCATTGATGCTCCTGAACACCTTTGTAAAAACAGACAGGCCACCCCTATTTCTCTTGGTTTCAATGACTCAAAAGAAGCCAGGGCTCTGCAAGGCCTTTAAAACCTAGCCTGTTAATCCAGGCAACTGCAGCACTGGACTGGCACATTAGCTTAGTGTGTACGCACAGTAGGCAGAGAAGTGGGGTTTTGTTTTGTGGGGTGGAAAATGTCATCACTCTGTCCAAACAAAACCACAGATCCATTTTTTGGAAGTTGTCTGGGAGGAAGGAGACTCTCCATGCCCTTTTCCTCAGATGTCAAATCATCATCATCATCATCATCATCTGCCGCCAAACTCCCAGCAACTCTGGGTGGCTTTACTTATGCAGTAGGATGGGCAAGGACTCCTTCCCTCCTTTGATCCAAGAGCTGCAGTCAGGTGCCCAGGGTCTCTGAGGTCCTCCGTGGGGGGTATCCGTCCATCCTTCCTCTCACCACATTTGGCCTCTTTCCAGCACCTTTCTGCCCAAACAGGTGCAGAAGGAGCTCCCTCTAGGTTGCCACCACAGGAGCTTAGCCCCCAAAGCAAGCCACACAATTCCCTTGGGAGATGCCAGCTGGGTTGCAGGGAAGGAAATGGTGGCCTTTCAAGCTGCGAGTTATGAGTGAGGGGACTTCTCCAAAGTTGACATGGAATCAGATGTGGCCCTTCTCACTGGGGGACCTCTTCCCCAGACATTCTCCAGAGTGAACTTCACAAGAGAGGCTTCCCACTGCTTGCAGCAACAGGGGGATGTCCCCCTCCCTGGCTCAGTCAAGAAGGCAACGCAGATCCACTGGAGTGGGCCACCTGGCCCAAAGGCGTCATTTAATGGAACAAGTTCTCCAATTCATTTCGAAACTTCAAATATACAAATGCAAGATGCAGACATTAACCCATCTCAGAACGGTACCTGAAGCCGTGTTTAGTGAAGGGAGCAGAAGCCGCTTGTTCCCTAGAACTTTGCCCTCTGCTGATGCTCACCAGCAGGCAGGACGGGCCCAGCCACGCTAAGGAAAGGTTCCCGGTCCTGGTGCTTCCCAGGCTGGGACACGCTCAGTAACGCCTGGCCCCAACAGGCCAGAGGCCCCCATCTGATCAATCTCCTGCCAAGAAACCGGGGGAAGGGCAACGGTCTAACTTCACGAAGTGCCATCACTGCAGAGGTGCAGGAAGAATTCAACAGGGCACCTCTGTTTCCAGCGTCCCTGAAGAGTTGCCCATTTCGAGCCAGAGGCCACCTAATACTCAGGCTACTCCCTGGGCCAGGGCTACTTCTGCCGGTGGCCTCCAGTGCTGAGACTGGCCTGGCCGAGGCTCCCCTGCCCAGTGGCTCCACAAGGCAACCAGGGAGGATGGCAGAGAGAACATTCATCCCAGGCCAAGGTTCCCGCCAGCAGCCAAAGCAGCCCGTCCCAGGACAGCCCTGGCCGCTCTGGCCTCCTCCGCCCTCTGGGCCGTGCGGAGAAGGAAGAGGAGGATCGACACCCACAGAGGGACCCTGACCAAAAGGCAGGCGAAGAGCTGAAGGCAGCGAGCCTGCCCCGCATCACGACTCGGCAAGGCTTCCCCTCCCTTGGCTGCCTTAGGGGAGGCCTGCAGCCACAGCCGATCCTTCTCTGCCCAAAGGACGACAGGCTCAGCAGCCCGAAGCAGATCTGCCGCCTCCTCCGGGACTGAACCGCGTTGGGCAGCCGACCCAGGAAAGATGCTGCCTGCAGAGGCAGGTCCCAGAAAGGGATTCCAAGCTGGGATCCCCTCTAGGCCCTCCACGCCTTTACGGTCAGTTCCTCTGCCAGGAAGGTGGTCCTTCTGATCTCTGCCCCAGAGAATCCTTTGGGAGGGGACAGAACAGAGAAGAGGCCAGGCCCAGTCCTCCCGCCTCCTTTGGCTGCAACTCGTCCCCCCGGTCGGTTCCCGATCCTAGCAGGGGACAGCAACCCTGGCCTGAATCATTGGGGAATGAAAGGAGGCTCAAGGCCCAAGGCCCAGCCCCCTCCTCAGTGCCTCTGCACGTTTCTCTTTCTCTCTCAAAGGAGGCTCTGCTGCCTGCCTCCGTCAGGGCAAGGCCACGTTGCGCCAGAGGAGCTGGGCAGGGCTTTGAGTGCAGCTACGAGAACTCCGAGGAGAGGTGGATGAAGTCGTCCAGGGGCCCAAGGCTGTGGGCATAGGGCACAGCTGGACTGTCTTCTCTCCTTCCCTTTTCCTGCCACAAGAGAAAAAAGAAAGAAGAGAAGGGAGTCATCAGGGGCCTGTGAACAGCTGCCTCCACCCTCGCTTTTCACCCCCCTCCCCACCACAAGCCTGGTCGGGAGCCACAATCATGTAGAAATGTCTTTCCTGAGCCCAAGGTAAATTCTTCCAGGGTACAGGATACCAAGCATATATAAAAAAAATAAAATACAGACTTTTATACAAAATGTTAAAAAGACTGAAAATGTCACTTTTATAAAAGCAATAGGAGATATAAAAAGACAGACTATACGTGGTATTTCTAATTTTAAACAGAAAGCTTTTGTAATACATAACACTCACCTGTGCATGCCCTTATGAGTCACGCAGAAAGTTCTGAGTTCTGTACAGTCCCACTGAAGGAGACCAAACCGGTTGTCTCACAAAGATTTAAGGTGGGCTTGACGGATTCCTCTTTTCCCACATCTGGGGCCCTCATGACCCCTGCCTTCTGTTCCACGGCCACCTTGGATACCACGCGTCTTCCTGAACCTGTCAAATTGGGCAACTATGCCCATGCCTGGCTGACATTCCAGCCTGACTTTTGGCGTGTGTTCTGTGTGGGACTACCCTTGAAAAGGGCCTAGAAGCTGGCTCTAGATCCCAAGAAGCCTGCAGGAAAGGTCTGCACTGGTTGCCAGTTGTCCCCAGACACAATTTAAAGGGTTGAGGCTGGTTTTGACAAGCCTTGCATGGCAGAGATCCTGCCTCTTCCATTAAGAATCTCTCAGACATTTAGATCTGCAGGCAGGGGAGGCCCTTCTGAAGAGGGCTTCACAGCCAGAGACCCCTTTTTTCCTGCCCCACATTCCTCCCTCTGGAGCTCTTTCAGCATTGGGAAAATGTGTAAAGGCACTTCTTTTCTACCAGGCTTTTAACTGTTAGAGGATTGGAGTCTTTAAGTAAATTTACATCTGTATTTTAAACTTTTAAAATTCTGCATTTGTTTTTCAATGTTGTTAGGTGCCTTAGGTAACTCAAAATCCAGTTTCTTTCTTGTGCCACAGCTAGGCACAAGATGCAGGGGGGGCCCTGCCAGAGCCTGCAAAATTCATCCTCTCTCTCAACTGGCCTAGAGGAATCTCCCGCACAGAATCTCTCCCTATAATTTCTTCTATTTCTGCCCTACTGAGTCCTTACTACTTGAGACAAACTGCCAAACAGCAATGCAATAAAATATACCATCAGTTAATAACACGGCCTTGCATTTGCAGATCTGCAGCCTCTTCCAGGCTGAGTGGGAGCTGGTTCGGCAGGACGCGGCTTAATGGGGTGGGGGACACGGCCCCAGACAAAGACGGCCAGTGCTGACAATGAGGCAAAATGCTTCTGGCAAACAGGAGCAGTTTCCGCCCCCTGCCCCCCCGACAAAGGGCCTACCTTCTGGTACTGCAAGATCCCCTCCTTCTCCTGCTGCATCCGCCACAGCTCCAGGTCATCCGGCCTGTAGCTAACAGGAACCACGTAGCCAGCAGGACGGTCAGTGCTGCACATTTCACAGCCAGGGCGGGTGGGCTTGTTGATGAATGTGCAGGTAGGACATGACCAACCAGCCTGGGACAAAGGAGAGAGCGAGCCCTGCCTCAGTGCCTCTGCCTGCATTCAGTGCCAGGCTAATATTGCCCGAGGCTGCACCATGGGGAGGGAACAAGAGAGCTGAGGGCATTGTGATGGGGGCCAGAGGGGAACCAACTCACGCCCTGGCGTACCTGCACAGGAGAAGCGGGGGCAGCAGCTGTGGTGGCGGGGGCTTGAGCACGACACGGAAGAGTTTTACTGAGATGCACAGAGTCCAGGAAGCGAGCAACCTCCCCAACATCCCTCTTCTTGTTGAGATCTTTCCCACCTGCAGGCAGAAAAGCATTGGGGACCAGCGCGGCCACCTTTCAAGGAGGCGGCGAAGGCTATGAGCTGGAACGTGAACCTCGGGAGTGGAACGTGCTTTCCCCAGCTCACCTTTCTTTGGCAAAGGATTGGTGCTGCCCTTGTGCCTGGTGTCAGAGCTGCTAGGGGGCGATGAGGGGGGCGGCTGAAGCACCACCCAGTCCTTGTCCTCCTTGTAACGTTGCTCGGAGAGGTTGGCTCTCTTCGCCGAGAGGAGGTAGAGGAAGGCCGTGTCACCATCCTTTCGGATTCCATAGGACCCAACTGTCCGGTCGTCCACACATAGGCACTGCCCAATAATCCAGCGCTGGACGCTGGGGTGGAATCCATAATCCTGAAACACCTAGTGGGCAAAACAGTGGGGGAAATGGGGGGCTGCGCAGTGCCAGTGCCTGTGGAGTGGTCCCAAGCACTCTTTGCCAGACTGTCAACCAAGCAGTACCCCACAAAGTGGGGCCAACCCCCCTTTCAAGAGGCTGACCCAGAGGGAAGTCCAGGCAAGCCGAGTACCTGCTGCCTGAGGGTGGCGATTGTGGTGTGTGTTTGGACCCGGGTGGTGATGCTGGCAGAACAGGAGGCATCTTCCACTTGCACCTTCATGCTAAGAGGAAGGAGAGCCACTGGTTAAAGAGGTACCACCTTCAAAGTGATGGAGTCAGATCGGAGTCCTCCTCTCTCTTCTGTCTCACCTGATCTGGCTCGCAGGGTAGCAGGACTCCTTCAGCAGGATGCGCAGAGTGCTGTGCTGCTGCGCAAGCAAGGAGGCACACCGCATGGCCTCCTCCTCATCTCCAAATTCAATGGCTGCAGAAAGATGGAGCGCCAAGTCTTCTGAGGGAGCAAGGAGGAGAAGACACCATTACTACTGTTTATTTACTGTATTTCTGTTTGCACCCTACTGCAACTCTTGGTGGCTCACATTACAGAAAGCAAACGTTAAACATTCTCAGTAAGCTTAAAAACTTTGTAACAGGGATATAAGAAGAAAACAAAAGATGGGCCCAAACAGGTTCCAACACTCTCCAGAACAGGTACATCTTCAACCTTTTCCTGAAGGCGCTCGGACCAGTCTGAACTCTCCAGGATGACCGTTCTCGAGGACTGTTGCTGCCTCTTTGCTACAGCTCCCTTTACGTCACCCTGAGGGTTGGGCACTACAAGTAGCTTTTCCCCCCGATGAAGGAACAGGTGGGGCCAATTCAGATGGGAGTCAGGTGCCAAGCCGCAAAGGGCTTTATAGGTTAAAAACACTACTTTAAATTGTATCCAGATGCTAAACAGCAGCCAGTACAGGGCCTGAAGTGCACGCACAATACATTCCCAATGATGGGAACCAGTTAGCACATGGCTGCTGCGTTTTGGACTAACTGCAGCATTTGAGTGGTCTTTAAGGGTAGCTTCAGGTAAAGAACGTTGCAGTAATCTAAGCAGGGGCATGAGTCATACAGCCAGGTCCTCTTTTGCCAGGTAAGATCACAACTGGTGCTCCACCCAACGGTGGGCAAAGGCCCCCCCAGCCATGGTTTCCACCTGCTGTACCGGCAGGAGCTGTGAATACAGAGAGCAAACCTGTTCCTTCAGGACAGTTCCTGATCACCCAGAGATAACACTGGTGTCAGTGCCTTGATGGACAAGCGGTATCTCCATCTTATCAGAGTTCAGCTTCAGCCTACCTCATTCAGACCCCGACAGCCTCCAGGCACCCTACAGCCCAGAGTAGGGATGTAAAGTCAGGTGTTACAGCTTACCAGTGACCCTGCGCTGTGAGATGACCTAACTCAGTAGCTTCATGTTGATGCTAAAAAGTAGGTGGGAGAGGACTGACCTCTGTGGAACCCCTTTAACATAGGGACCACCAGAGCCAAATCTCCTCCCCCATTACAACTGATGGAGACCACGTGCTGAAGGGGGAGTGGAACCTCTGCAAAACAGTAAGAGTGACCAATACTGTCTCAGTCTCATACCTCAGCCCCACCTGAAAAGGGTTCAGTTAAAGAATACAATTTAAATAAAGTTCACTGTTTGTTTTGTTTTCAGGTATTGTGTTTTTAACCTTTACGTGCCTGGAGTCAGAGGTGAGTTGGCACTATAGGAGGAGAGCCCTGTTAGTCTATGGTAGCCAAAAATCAGAAGGAATCTGGTAGCCACTCTGTGCATCTGATGAAGTTTCTATCGATCTCTCACCAGTGCTATTACGCATGTGCTCTCTACTGGAACACCTTGGGCCAGGCTGCAAGCCATATATGTCTAATTAGCAGCACCCTGAACTGCACAATGAAAGGAGGAGGCAACCAATGTAGCCGCCATAGCACTGGATAGCATTGAAAGCGTCAGGGCATTCCTGTGAGAGCCTGGGCATTTTGGACCAAGGGACGCTTCTGGGTTGTCTTCAAGTGCATTCCAATGTAGAGCTGGTTACGCTGATCTAGTCAACAGATGGTAAGGGTGTGAGTGACTGTTACCAGCACAAAGAACAGCCATAATAGTGCATTAGAAAAAGCTGGCCAAAGGCTTCCATGTACTGATCCAGCAAGCGTTGTGACTCCTGGAGAACCCCCAGATCACGCACAGCAATATCTTGAGCAAATGTTGGAACAGTCACAGAATTAGTTTCTGCACTAACAACCAGAATAAGTTAACCCTCTAGGTTAAGCCTTAACTCGTTTCTTCCCACTGAGACTTTACAGACTTCTACTGTATCTTCCATTCTGTCTGGGTATCCTCTGCATATTGATAATACTGAACCCCACACTGTCAAATAACCCTTCACTGGCTTCACATGTTAAACAAAATGGGGCAGACAGTCAACGTGCTCATCCCCCATGCACAGGAACTGGAACTGCCCACTGAAGGAAGAGAGGAACTACTCCAAAACAGTGCCACTGACTCCCAACTCTTGCAGATGATCCAAAAAAGTTAAAGATACTCAGACATGCCAAGACATCGAGCAGGACAAGTACTGCTGAGTAAAGAAACAGGACAAATTTTCTCTCCTTCCAAAATTTGGCATCACTGCATATATAACATATTTTCCGAAAACATTCCAATTTAACTAGCCTAAACAGTCTGCCAGTCTACAACAGATAATTAGTAATTAGTTTGCTTGTTGCCATACCGTTGGTTAGAAGTCACCATGTGAGCCATGCACTAACCTTTCTTTGCAACCTCCAAAGGAAGAGAGGCCACTGCAGCCAAAGGCTGGGAAGAGGGCCGCCCGGTGATCCCATTGGTTCCTTCTGGAGCTGGAGAGAGAGAAAAATTATTGGAGGAAACCTGGTTTTTTGTGAGAGAGCAGACAGCCTCTGGCACAGACAGCCCCAAATCTTGTGAAGAAAAAAAAACTAAAGGGGATAATTCAAATAAAGGGCAGAGCGGATCCTCTCCTCAAAGAAATCAGTCAAATGGAGAGTGCTTCTGGGCACAACTTTTTTGAAGCTGTTTCCCACAGAAGACACCTTGAAAACCCAACGGGTCACTAAGATGGCCACACTTGTCTGGCTCTACTGGCAGAATTCTGCTTGGAACTCTACCTTAAAGACATTTAAATCCTTAAGCCTCAGATGTTAAGGTAGACTTGCTCCACGAAGAGTGTGGAACAGCAGACAGCCAACCCTACTTAAGCGGAGCATCTGCTGGATCTGCATGCAGAACCTCCTGTGATGGTGGCACGTCGATCCTTATTTTCTTCCGTGCCTGAAAGCCATTTACTCTGCA